GCTAACCTGTACTGGAGAGCACACAGTAGGAAATAAAAAAAGAACTCACCTTGTGATAAACCTGCAAGAGAAAAAGCATTTGAGCTCTATACTGTCTCAGAAATAATCCTTGATGTGGTTTAGAACAGGATGGCGTTTTATCATAGCAGAATTTAACTTTATCTCCGGTAGAATTCTGATCAGGCATTAGCTCCGCCTTCTCTTTTTTTATTTTTTTTTTATCTAAGGACCCAAAATCCGCATTTCTCTAACAGGGCTGCAGAAGAGGGGTATGAGAAGTATGAGGCATGGCTACAATGGGTGATCTCTTTGGTATTTTAAGCAAAACACTTCACAATATATTTTCCCAATATAGCATAATAGGTCCACTTTAATGCCAGAAACATTTAATGAATAAAAAGACAATTAAGTCAAAATGGTTAGAATAAAGTTGACATGTCAAGATCAAAGTTACATTTTTTGGTATAAATCAATATATCTACTGTATCAACTACTGGTGTTAGCTGATAAACTAAAGGTTTGACTTTATTTTCTATATGCAAAATGTGATTTTAATAGTTAAGAATCTGTAAATGTTATTGGACCTCCTTTCAGCAAGATCATTGCTGATTATTTTATAGGGGGACATTAATTGTTATGTAGGACAAAGTTTGGTCCCTTGGCCTCTTTTTGCCGACCCCTACCTTATAATCTGTATTTTTGAAGTAGCATGATTATTATTATTTATTACTAATGTGGGAGTGTATGACTTGGGAAGGGATATGGGGGGAAGATGGTGGGCTTTCATTGTTCCAGAAACAGATGCCATTCTCTCACACTCAAACACACACACACTGTGTCTCGTTACCCATAAATCACAGGCAAAACTGTCTGGATAATCAAAGGAAATCACGTCTCTCTGCATCTCCCACTCTCTCTTCTCTGCGGTCTCTCTCTCTCCCTCCCAGCCCATAAATGACAGCAGTCCCATGAAGCGCTCGGCCTCGTCGCTGGGCCACAGCAGGTCCGGCAGGGTTCACAGAGACAAAGGAGACGACTACAACATGGAGTGTGTGCCTGAGGAGGAGAGGACTTCCCGGCATGGACACCGGCGAAAAGACCGGGGTCACCGGGCCTCTGAGAGGTCGCTCTGCCGCTACACAGAGGCTGACACAGGTGGGGAGGAGACCACATGCACACAAACAACCGCACATACAGGAGACAATAATGAGGGTTTGACAGATGCTTTATTAACACAGATGTTTTTTTATGTAACCATTACTCTAAAGTCTGATGTTGTATTGTTATCTAATGTCATGGTGCTGTCATGGATCCATTACCTAAGCAGGTCAAATTGGATATAAAAGAAAAGAAACAGACACACTAGTGATTGAAAGTAAAGATTAAATCACTAGTGTTTAAGAGTCAGATTACCAGGGACAAGTCAGGCTTAAGCAGGGGTATGAAGACTGAGAGACGCTTACAGGTTTTTATCCTATCTATCACAAAAAGTCAATATTTGCTTTCATTTGATCCTTTTGTAAGTGACGTTTAACCTAGTACCATAGGATTTAGCATTCTTCTCCAGGAAGCACATTGGGAGTGGAAAACCAGAAAGTCATAATGCAAAGGTTATCATATGAACCAATGATTAAAACCACAGCGAAACTGACTTCTATAGTGTCTAGTGTTTTTTAACCACACACCCAGTAATAACTCTCATGAACCCCCCTCATCAGGCCTGGGCACGGAGCTGAGCACGACCACGCAGTCCGGGGACCTCACGTCCAAAGACAAGGACCGCGACAGAGACCGCGGCCGGTCCAAAGACCGTAAGCACCACCACCACCATCACCACCACCACGGCTCCGTGGACAAGGAGCGCTATGTAGCAGAGCGAGGGGGCGAGTACGGACACAGGCACTCTCGCGAAAGAGAGCTTGAGGACAGGGACAGGGAGAGAGAGAGGGACCGGCGCTGGTCTCGATCGCCCAGCGAGGGTCGTGAGGGTCACGAGGGACACGAGGGACACGAGGGTCGGGACGGCTTGACGCACAGACAGGTGGGCTTCCGGGTAGTTGTGTGCATGTGGTGTCTAGTTTGGTTTCTAGAAGAAAGCCAAGTGGGACGACCACACTATTCGAACACCCTGAAAGGGGGCCATATTTTGCTCTTTAAGTACTTGTAATGTTTATGTCATTTCAAAAGTAAGATATTTACTTGTAGGTCAGTTCGTGACCTACACTGTGGTATTGCTACTTTTATTCAAGCAGAAATACTTGCTAAATACTACTGCTAAAAAAAGGTCAGAAGTTATTGTAGGACTTTACTGCCCTCAAGTTAGAAGCCTTATCAACCCCAAGTTGTTCAAATGACAAATAAAGTGTGGATTATTTGTATGTAAATACACATATGTGTTGACGACATGCACACAAACATTTTGTGGTTATAATAATGCAAGTAAGTAACATGAAAGACAGACAATAAATGTTCACTATGCAGTTAATTGTTCAATGTTTCAAATCACTGTTCCAGCAACCCAGCAAATATACATAGAAATGTATATTTGGATACCTGACTGCTGCCCCGTCCTGCCCTGCTACATGTTTTAAGACTGCCAAAGTTCTCCCATGTTCCCCCCAATACCTTTCCTTTTATAGCATGCTTTTCCAAACACATAACACGTGACATTTACTATTGAAATGTAAAAACAAAAGTATCTATAATCTACCAAACTTCTGTGCAGTTACAACTTTTGTTAAACTATTCTAGCAAAGAAAGACTAATTGGGGAAGAATTGTTTTCCTCCCATTACAATTTTTGCATCTTTGTTATATAGAAATAGCTTTCAGAACATGACACATGTCTCACAGCTCACTGACAGTCAGTTTAAATCTAACACGTTTAGTGTATGTTTAGTCACCGTATTTACCCTGTACCACATTTGTTGCTCCTGAAATCAACCCTTTACCCTTCTTTTCTCCTGTCGTCTTTTGTTTTCTTTCCTCTGCGTTGACATGTTGCTTCTCTATGTATGCTGCTGTTTGGAATCTCATCTTTTTTGTCCACATGCTCTGCTCCGTTCCTTTCTCTCCTCCATCCCACGCACGTTATGACTGGTGCTTTTATCTTTATTATTGCTGTGATTCTTGTTCTTGTCTTCTCTTGCATTCTCTCATTCCCTCTCTATTTGTTTTCCACTCTTTCTTTCCCATCCTCTTTACTCTACATGTTCTGTCGTTGAATTTGTGGTTCGTTCTTTTTATTTGCTTTATTTCACTTTTCGTGTAGGGCAGTAGTTCGGTCAGTGGAAGTCCCGTCCCCTCTACGTCGGGGACCAGTACGCCACGTCGCGGCCGCCGACAGTTGCCTCAGACCCCCGCAACCCCCCGGCCCCATGTCACCTACTCCCCTGTGGTCCGTAAGGCCATGCCCGCAGCACCTGGGGGGCCACAGGGCCGCCCCCCCGCTCCTGCCCCTCGGCACTTTTCTCCCGAGCCTCCTCAAGGCCAGGGCCCCCCCCCCTCTGTCCTCCCTCCAGCCCACCATGGCATATCCCGCCAGGGTCATCACCCCCCGCCTCGCTGGGGGGACACGGATGGAGGAGGGGGCTCCACGGAAGGGGACGGCTGCTTCTACAACCAGGACTATGACCCCCACCATGAACCCCCTGCTTACGAGCAGAACCCCATGCAGGGTGGCAACCCGCACCCCCACCCTCAACCTCATGCCCTGGCCAACCACCCACTGCCGCCTCCCCCACAACAACAGCAACATAACCCCCATCCACTGCCTCCACCCCAGCCCCACCCAGTAAACAACCCCCACCCTCATCCCCCGCCCCACCAGCAGCCCAGTCGCACCTCCCCCAGGACTGTCGGCCATGCACCTCCCCCCACCACGGCCCTGACGGGGCCTGTGCAGGGCCAGATGCAGCCTGCTGTCCAGCGGCGCCTGCCCAACGGATACCGCTCTTCATCTCCGTCCAAACATATCCATGGACCCCCACACACGGGGCCTCACAAGGTCCCCCCTCCACCCGGGCATCCCAAAGGTCCCCGCAAGGGCCTGCATGAACCCTACAGTGAGAAGGAGGACGACGACTGGTGCTAGCCTCTGGGGATGGGGGAGGGGCGTACGGAGGAATAACTGATAGATGGACGGAAAAATGGAAACGGGAAGCTCCGAGCGAGAGCTCTGACTGCCAAGGGAAACCATGATTCCTTCTTTCTTGCCTGTTCAATTTTTTTCTCCCCTCCACTGCTTGGCATGTCCCAGTGATGCTGGGCTGGGTGGAGGGAAAGGTGTCAGGATGAAGGGGTGGAACAACAATGCAGAGGCAGGACCAGTAGAAGTGGAACACCACCTCCACGTTCTGCTCGCATTGTTGTAGCATTCATTTGTTGATGCCAAATAAGACCAACCTCAAACTGCAGGATGCAAGCAGCCGGGGTGACTACACTAGTCTGTGTGTGTCTTAAATTCTGCCTCCGGCAACGATCTACAGCCACTTACAAGATGTCAAGAGTTGCGACTCGACAAAAGACACTTTACAGTCAGAGACAAAAGAACGACCACTGTTTTGTTTTTGTTTGCTTCTCAAAGCCAACTTCAGTTAAGTTAGCTGCAAAAAGAATCAAACCCAACCCTCCCAGCCACAAGTTGAATATTGATGAGTTTTATCATCTGTGTTTTTAAATAAGAACCAAACTGACAATGAGCCCTCCACCTGTGTGAGGTGAGGAGGCTGCGTGGGTGGGAGAGTTGGGGATTGTTGCACGGGGGTGGGGGGTTGACGAGTCCCTGGTCAAAATGTAGAGGAAAGGATGGGTGTGTTTGGGATGTTTCCTCCTCCCAGAAACAAACAATTGAACAAACCTCAACCCATGACCTATGAGAGAAGAAAAACAAAAGCGTGGAGATGGGTTTCAGAAACGAAAAACAAACCAATAACTGTTTTCTGCAGTATTTCTTCTTCTATTCCTGCTTCTTCTTCCTCCTTCTCTTCTACTTCTTCAGAACATTGAAGCTTGAATCTTCTGTTGCACCCAACACAGCTTCGTTTTTTAGACTTGCGGAGTTGTACACCCTGTGGAATCCTGCATGAATGATACAAAAAATAATAATAATAGCAACAATGAGAATCTACTGTATGTGGGGGGGGACTCTACTTGGTCCTTTCTGTTGTGGTCTGCAGGGTTTCTCTTTTTTTTTGGAAGTAAAAATGCCTTTCTGTTTCTCTCTGTCTCCTCTGTATGACCTTACTCTTCCTGTACCTTCATTTACACTGAAATCAAGTGAACGAAGGCTATAGGGAGATTTGATAGTTACTGTATGTTTATCCAGAAGGAACACAATTATTACTTTTTGCTTGCTTGTCTGTATGTCCTGTGTCAGATGCCTGCCACTGATACAGATGGAATTGCACATACTTTTTTTGTGGAAGTAACTTTTTGTAACTACGCTGATAAAAACGATATAACGGGAAGCAGGGTAACGTTGATAAGAGATGTGGGGTCCAATATTGGTGAACAAGTCAGTAACATCTCAAAGTCTTCCAGGGTTTGGGCTTCAAAAAACATGCGAGAGGAGGAGACCAATAGAAAGGCGAGGGAAAGGAGAGAAACTCTTCATCTTTGTTTTCTTTTGTTATCGACCGTCATGATGGACAATCTGATGATATAGTGACTTCTAATGATCATGTCGATCGTGATAATGAGACAGATTCTCCATTTTGGGTCTGTTTTTTTCTGTTCTGTTTGATTTTGAGCTCAGCTAATCATTTTTCCAACCCTAAGGTGGAGCTCTAACCCACAGTTGCATCGTGGGAGAATGAGTCTGCAGGTGGGAAAATATGAGTTTGTCACTATATAGAATTTTAACCGTGGGTTCGTTTGATTTAGAGCGCCAAAACAGAGAATTGGCCAAACACAGCAGTAGCCTCCAGGTTTCTGCAGTGAAATAAAAATAAGTCTCCTGCTGATGCGAAAGAGTTCCACCACCGCTTGTGACCTTCCGGTGGCGCTGTATGACAGTATGTTTTTTTTTTTACCTCTCCTTTGACTTCATTTCTGATTCGGAGTCGATGCACCAAGTATACAGTTTAGCTCATTCTCTCACTCGTGTTGCACAGTGCAGGCGGGTTGGAGAAAAGATGTGTGGGCCTCGTCATGGTCCCTGAAAACATCTATGTTCTGTGTGTAACCACTCCTGTATATCTTTAATTTATTTCTTTGTGTTTCTCTGTGTGCCTCAAACTAACACGTGTCACTAATGCACACCACTGTCAGCCCCAACATTGTTATTATTATTATTATTATTCTGTTCATTCATTTAACGTTTTTTAACCTGGAGGCCTATCACATGTTGACCAGAGAATGCACCGAAAAAATTGAAAAGAAAAAAACTGCCTATTAGTGTCTTTCCAACCTCAGTGGAATGTCACAGACAAGTATTTTTTCACATCACTACACGTAAAATCAGAAAGCACACTAAGTATGTAGCTCCTGGTTGTGGTGTGTGTGTGTAAGTGGGTTTTTTGCGTGTGTGTGTGTGTACATGAGTGAGTGTGTTTCAGATCAAATGTTTGATGTTTTGTTTTTGTGCTTGCTTTGCTTTCTATTCTTTGTCTCCAGAAATCCTTTAAAAAAATATTTTAGTCAAATCATTGTATCAAATTTCCGACTCTGTTTGTGTGCATATGTGTGTGCGTGTGTGTGTGTGCATGTGATGTCAGTAAACCCCTGAATGAAACAGGCATAGCCCCAAACATTCACCATCCATCTTTGTGTCTATGCTGCAGTGAAATCCACTAACACGCTGATTAACCACACAAAGTCTTCAAAAAGCAATGTAAAGCCGCTACTGAGAAAAAAAGAGTTTTTTAAGTACAAAAGGTAAAAAAAAAAAAAGGAAAAAATATCTAGTTCCAGAAATGCATGTGCTATGTGCATGCCACACCGTGGGTTAACAGTCATCTTCAGGACATAAAAGAAAAAGCAGATTAAAGAATTCAGAGGAATTTAAAAAAAAAAGATATATAAATAGATAGATGTTTTTAAAAAGCAACGTTTCCTTTTTTTCCTTCTATTTTTGAGAACAAAAAAGATTAAAAATTACAAAAAAAAATGTCTAAAGAATTAAAAAAAAAAACACAAGAGACTTTGGTGAGAGTTTGTTTTCTTCTGTTACATGGGGTTGAGGCACATCACGAAAAAAAAGAACTGTTTTTAAAAAAAAATATTCAAAGAAAGTACAGTTCAGAAGACAGAATTGTATTCTCCCTTCTACTTTGTGTGGGGGGTCAGGGGGTACAGGAGCTAGCCAAATCTGATGATGTCCTCATTATGAATGGCTGTGGAAAACTTTGATCTCTCACTCACTCCCTCTTTTTTCTCTCTCTAACTCTGTCTCTCTCACACTCTTATCTGTCGCACTCTCAAACTGTCTCACCGCTATTTCTACCAGTGCATTTTGTAATTCTAAACAGAACTCTTCCTAAAGAATAAAATCCAGAGAGAATGCACACTGTGTTGCCTCTTTTCTTGTCCACATTATGGCTTTATTCTTCAACTGAGCATGTGTGGTGTGTAGGTTTTTACTAGATATGTTGTGGCTTAAAGGCACCTCTTGGGGTTTCCTTGTAAACAACCAAAAGTAATGTTGACACTGGAAACCAATTTCCTTACTATGAAAGATTTGCAAAACATATTTTACAAACATTTTCAAACATGTAGTGCTAACATGCATTACATCCATCAGTGGAATAGTGTGAAACCAATGGCGGGATTGTGTAACACACACAACAAACTTGGGATATGATTTTGTTCCAGCAGCAGTGTCAAGCATTACACAAGTTATCAATGGGCCCAATCACCAACAGTCTGCTTCATAGCACTACTAAGCTCCACAAGGTCATATAACCTATAAACACATTGACAAGATCTCACTTTTTAAGTGTTTAACATGTTAAACTGTTGACTATGTACATTTCCAGTACACACAGAGCAGCATATCATTCATATGGATTCATGTGTTCTTTCTATCTGGAAAAGGTAAGCCTTATATTCGCCCTCTAGCTTTGTATTGACCTTTTTACCAGCTCCTGGTGGAAAATGTGCTTTTTTTAGCTTCAAAATGTTCACCAGCTATTGATAACTTTGTCTACGTGCTGTTATCCTGGCTTCAAAATAGGGCTTTCCATTTATACCAGCAGAAAGTATACACATCCTCCTTTGTCAACAGAAAACCCATCTTTGCACCTTTTAAATGAAGAAGTTTTGTATATTACACTTTAAATGGTTTGGCTTCTTGAAAGCTAGTTGCAGAATTCCTCGCCATTCTGAGTTTGATTGCAATTATTGTATGTCACTTAGGATTAAGGCTGCAGCTAAATTAAATAAAAATAATGTAACGTGCGATGATGGGCAGCATTCAGTGGGTTTTTCCAGAGCTTTTTGACTGAAAATAGCTGTTAACTAGAATCAAGGGGGTTTTGTATAAAATGCATTAACACTGCTTAAAATGTAAGCCCCTTATGGGCTGATAAGGTAACAGGGATCTAAACCACCCAATCTGCTCTGAGTCAATTCAGCATGTGCTTTTGCAATGCTTACATTCTGAAAAAAAAGAAATCCATTAGGAGATGACATGAATCTTATGCTTAGATAGATGTGACAAGAACATGGATGTGTCAGCATGTCCCTTCACAACGAGCTTCTTTGTGAGGGAAATCAGATAAAGGGTAAAGAAAGTGTGTGTGAGGGATCGGAGCAGACTAACATGTGAAGGCGAACAAGCGTGTGTGTGTGTTCACAGGCATGTCCAGACGGTTCCGGCCACTCCTCCCGGCCCTGTGTGTACACAGACAGGGTGCTCTGGTTTCAGCCGGAAGAATAAGCCGCCTGGTCGGAGCCTCATGGGGCTCTCAGGCACTTCCCCCCACATTCCTTCTTCTGTTTTCCTAGGATAAATCCCCTCCCCCCTCAACACCGGTGGTGAATCCCTGTTGCGCCCATTCTGTAGTCTGCAGGGTCATTACATTCCAAAACGAAAACCGTACGTTAATAGGAATATAAATAAAAGCTTTATTGTTTTTAAATATAATTCACCCATTACTTAAGCTTCAATTTTAATTGCTAATCAATTAACTTGAATGGTTTTGTAGAAACAATGTTCAGATACTGTTTGGGTTAGGTGCAGAATGAACGACCCAAATGAAAGGAATTCAGTTGTGTTTATAATCTCCCTTTATCTGTTTGTTGTGCAGAATTACTGATACTTAACCACTGTCACTTAACAGCACACTACAAATGCATGTTTTACCCAACCTTTTGCACCCCGAATCAATCACTATTATTCAAGTATTACGGCCACAGTAAAACACTACTTTAAGAGCTGCAGGGCTGACTTGTTCTCAGTGTTATGTCCAGTCAATGGTTTTTACAACCTCCCCCCCCTCTCCGGACCTCAATCTCCTGAATTGTCCCAGCTTTTGTTCTGCAAATCAGTGTGGGGGATGTGAAGTTTGTGGGGGAAGGAAGCAAACTTCTTCACACTCAAGTTTCCTGTCACCCACACACACACTTATACAACAGCAGTGTTGTGTTATGTCAACAATGACTAAAAAAAACAACACACCACTCAAGGTTTTAGGTACAAAATAGTTTTTAATAAATACTGAGGTAGTTGTAGTCATTGAATGTTTTACACCTGGAACACATTTCATCTCAGTCAGCACTTATCCACACACATTTGTTAAGCTTTTAATGTCCATTAAGGCAGCTCAAGGCCTCATTCAGGTCAACCAGTTCCTTTAGTTCCGCTTTTGGCCAGCTGAAGCCTGTCCTTGTGGTGAGCTATGGCCAATAATTAGGCCAAAAGTCACCGGGACTAATACACATCCACAGGCTGCTTCCGTGAGTCCTGGTACATGCCCCGACATGTTCACAGCCATGCTTGGGGCTTTCAGGGCACTCTTATCCCGGATGTTCACGTTAAACGAAAGAGTCCATGGCGTTCAAACCGTGTCGAGAAGTTTAAAGTCTTTAATCCTCGTAGTTTCAACACGCTGCAATGGCTCTCTGTACAGGCATTGGGGCTGGGGGTGCTCCCACTTGACTGCTGCAGTTCATATATTCACACAGCAAAACTGTACTTAAAATGAGCTGATGGGGAGAGCTTTTCTGCTCAAGTTTGGCCTTTTTGCAAGGTAGAAAGTCCGGCTCCACGGCCGCTTTACCCCGTCTTTTCCGGGAGTGTTGTGCTGGTCGGGGAGGGCTCATATTCTCCTTGTTGTAGGCGTCGCGGCGGAGCTTAGCGGGGGAGCTTTCGACCTCTTCTCCGGTTGAAGTCAAAGGTTTTCCCTCCTGTAGCTCCATTTGAGCGTCTGTAGGCTCCTCGGCCGGGGACTGTTGTTGTTCCACCGCCTCCCACTCCACCGTCTCCTGGGCCGCATGGTACATGTCCCGGGCGGATTTCATCACCATGGTCAGGAGGAGGCTCCGGTGGAGACGGAGACCCCCTCGCTGGGTGCGGGAGCTGTACAGTTTCCCCAAAGCCACAACCATGATCCTCTTGGCCTCTGTGGTGACCTCCATGACACTGTTTGTTTTTAAATTAGTCAAAACAATCAAAGGTTAACGTTAATTCAAGAGTCTCCCCTCTGACTTCGCATGCAGACACAATACAGACTGACTGCAGGACAAGTACTTATCACCTCGCTGACGTCACTCACTCAGCGTCATGTGAGAGAGCCCCGCCCATCGGCCTCAAACCAATCTGCTATTCAAACAACCCTGAAAAAACTGGTAAGGCAACCTCCACACACACTATGATAATTGCATTAGCTACAGACAACAACACAAATAAATGCGTCACTCAAACCGAGTTCAAAGAAGGGAATTCACTACATAAACACGTGGAGAAATACAGTTTCAGTTTCTTTTTGTATTCATTAGACTTGTAAAATTGCACATTGGAATCTTAAAATGTTTCTTTTTAGACAACCTAAGAACAATAAGCCTTTAGAAATGTATGGTATATCTGTACATTGTTTTGCTTTATGCTTTATCTGCTAATTTTGTCTGGAGGAACAGCTCGACACTGCCTGTAAAACTAGTCTATAATTTTCAGGTATTGTACGTTTCATAAACTGGCTACCACGTGGTGTAGCCGCAAGTTGTAGTGTGGAGTTTGGACAAACAGTCCCCCCTCCTTGTGGTACATTTCCAAAGATATGCCTAGCACGCACCTGTCTCCACATTGGAAATACTCAACAGACCCATTTCATCCTGGTTCTGGTTTTGATCAAATATTGTGTGTCGGTATAAATTGTATCTGTTGCTTTAATAGCCACATCTCTATTACGCATTGGCTTGTGTTTGTAGTAAAAACTATCAACACCCTTAGGGGAAGATGTGTCATTGGTTTTCATGTAATACATTGAACCACCTAAAATGTGTTCCATTAAAGTTTAAGCAATTATCCAAAAACTACTTGACATTTAATTTCGGTTTAAATGTATATATATATATATTTAAAACCTTGTTGCAGCTTTAAAGTGGTCTTACTGAATCACTCCTTTTGCTTATAACATTTATTTTTCTAACATGCAAACACAGCCTGTCGTGTAAGAATACCTTAACCTTTTTTTTTTTTTGCATTGAACTATCTCTGCTCGGCATGACTCAGCAAGTAATGTTATTCAGGTTAGATAAGGACACGTTTCAAAAATGATTAACACATTATATATGGACTACAATGTGTTCCTTTGATCCGCAAACCCTGTATCAGGAGCAATCTAAGATATTTCCCTATCTATTTTTAATCTTTCTCACACCATGGAAAAAATCCACTGCTCTCTGGAACACAGCAGAAGGCCTGTTTATAATAGTGTGCTCTCTTCTCACCCATCCCCCAGTGTGTGTTACTTCCTTTTGAAGGACAGGCAGATGCCCATATTTAGCACATCCTGCTCATGTGGCACATACTGAGAGGAAACCCATGACGTGAGTGGGAGCCCTTGTTTCCTGAAGCCATTTAAAGTAACAGCGGTGATGATTGCGTCAGGGCCACTTCCCCTAAGCCCATATTTGGGCATTGGAATCCATTCCTCCAGGTTTTTTTTTTATCATGATTAGAAACTGCAGGGTATTTTTACAGCCTACTTCATTTACGGTTAAAACTCGAAACTCCGAATATCACATTAATATTAAATCATAAACGATATATTTTAATCTTGAGTGTGTATTGTATTCTTTGGAGATACAGAGAGAGATAGAATGGGAGGCCATCTAATTTTAACGTTGCTCCATACTTCCATAATAATTTGTGGTATGCAGGTGATTGTTTCTGGTGTGGCTGCATTTGAACAAGACATGAGTTGAAGAGGTTAACAGGCGTTTGCATTTTTCTATGGTTTAACTGTGAGAAAATGTGTCGGTCTATGAGGTAGGGATGCATGAAAATGTGGAAGAAGGGAAAGATGTTGATGGGAAATCCTTTGTTGACAATGACATTAATAATCCATTATGATCTTATTTTGTAGTTGAGACTCTTCAAGCGTTAGATATTACTTTTTTATAGTGACCATTAGCATCCCAAAATGCCACATTTCTTTCTTACCTCGAGATGGTTAAAAACTTAGCACAGTTAATTATGGTTTAGTATTAAATCACCAAAAGAGTTGGAGATAAGCTTATATTTGGACATTTCATTGCAATGCTATAGCGAAGAGTGCCTTCTTGTGGTCATGCAATATAATTGTTTCAAATCTAAATATAATATCTAATGTGCATCCTGCATTTTAGATATGTCAGGTGACACGTTACCCAAGTGGTACAATACTTAACATCTTGAAAAAGGTGGTTGCTCAGAAGGCATCAACATCATGATAGACCCAGAAACATTATTTAACAACCGCATTGAATCACTTGAATCAATTGTGCCGAAATCAATTCATGTCCACTAGGGGGCAGTAAAACATCACATCAAGCAGTCACTACTCACTATCTGCTCTCATTGAGGTCATATTTCAAACCACTCAAAGGGCATTTTAGCTCTGTTGTGGTCTCCTCTAACTAATTGCTTATTTGTCTGCCTGTCCTTTCTTATTGGGTGTTCAGAACATTGTATTTCTGGATGTTTATTTGTATTGTACATGCGAATTGAAGAAGATTCAACTTATTGTCATTACGTTACAGGTAATATGCATGTAACGAAACGGTTTCTCTTCATTTGACCCATCCTAGTGTTAGGAGCAGTGGGCTGCCATTATGTACGGCGCCCGACATTCAAAAACATCTAATAGTCAACCATCAGGGGTGTAGACTCAATTTCATCACGGGCCACATTAGAATTATGGTTGCACTCAAAGGGCCGGTTGTAACTTTAAGACTGTATAACTATACATATAAATATATATACAATTAATAAAATAATGTATTATTTTTATATTATTGCCTCTGCATTGGATTATTATCAGATAGGTTCACAATTATATGTCTGAAAGCAGAAGTCTAGGGAAAATAATTGCAAATAATTGCAAGACTCTTCAGTGCACATGTCACAAAATGAGATGCATTGTGGGACATGTAGTTTATGGGCAACGTGCTCCTGTAAAGCGGCACGTAACCTTAAAAATAAATGTAGGCCTATTATATTACTTTCAAGCAGGGCTGTATCTGGGGGCCCTATGCAAGATGTTGTTTGGGGCCCTAGTTTTTTTTACAATGGGGGGGATTCCGAAGCCTTTAAGATGATCTGTGGAGATGCATCAATCTGTTACACTTTAATAGGAAAACAGGCTAATTTCACGAAAACCAAGTAATTGAAAATTACAAAAAAGGATATTAAAAAGGTAAACAATAAGGCTCTTCTATGTCAATAAATGCAAGAGATGCAGCATTTTCTCAANAATGTTTAATTTACATTTTTCATCTTCCTCAGACGTCACTCATTGGCTGACAGCCCAACGATGATTTGGACTTTATTAACCCAAAAACACAAGCCACAGCTTTGCTATCATTGCAGTTTAGTCGTGTTTATATCCTACATTGGATTTTTAAGCATNCCGAAGCCTTTAAGATGATCTGTGGAGATGCATCAATCTGTTACACTTTAATAGGAAAACAGGCTAATTTCACGAAAACCAAGTAATTGAAAATTACAAAAAATTATATTAAAAAGGTAAACAATAAGGCTCCTCTACGTCAATAAATGCAAAAGATGCAGCATTTTCTCAACAATGTTCTCAACAATGTATAGACGTCACTCATTGGGTGACAGCCCAAGGATGATTTGGACTTTATTGATCCCCACAAACACAAGCCACAGCTTTGCTATCATTGCAGTTTAGTCGTGTTTATATCCTACATTTGATTTGTAAGCATACAATGCTTCACCGAACACAGGAGGGGGCTTGGCTGTCTACAAATAAAAACGGTTCGTTTGAATTCTCCCCAAATATATTGAGGCTGAACCTGAACTTTGAATTCTCTGCTCCCATCATAATCTTGGCGATCTTGTTAAAATTGTGAATGCAGAATTAGAAATACTATGTAACTGGTTTGCAGTTAATAAATTATCCCTTAATGTGGCCAAAACAAATTACATGTTATTCAATACAAAGTCTGAGAGTAGAAATGACTGCATTATACGGATTTGCAATACCGAGATAGAAAAAGTTGGTGCATGTACATTTTTAGGACTGCTTGTTGACGAAAAACTCAATTGGAAGCACCATATCAATTATGTAAAGACTAAACTGTCAAAAACAATAGGTATTTTGTATCACACTAAGAACATTCTGGAAGAAAAATACTCTTTATAACAGTCTATTTCTCCCTTACCTTTACTATTGCTCCAAAATATGGGGAAACGCGTACTCAACAAATCTACAAAAATTAATAACATCCCAAAAAAAAGTATTACGAATAGTCTGTGGTGTTGGTAAATATGAACACACAACTCCCATATTTAAAAAAACTCAATCTATTAAAATGTGTTGACATAGTACAGCTTAAAACAGTACTGGTTATGCACAACATTTTCCATAAGAAAATGCCTAATAACATCAGATGAAGTGACGGGCCGGATTTGTCCCGCAGGCCTTGAGTTTGACACCCCTGGCCCTGGTCAACCATAAACTAAATGTCTAAGCGATACAAACAATGCTAAGAGAGGTTCCTGTCAGAAATACAGATTACTGCGGCCTTAAAGCACTGGTGGATACATGTGTTGTCACATTTCTACATTTCTTATCGAGGGAAAATTATGCATTACCATAACAGGTTTGAAGTTGAAATGTGTGTGCAGGCAGATCCACTTGATTCTCTGCAGTTATTCTTTCATCACGGGGTGTTGCACTAACATAGGACATTAAAAAAGAGATCTTTCTTCAGCTCTGGGTTCGGCGGTGTTTGGTTTTAAGGCAGTCATAAACTAAACTGAAATAAAGAGAGCCCCAGTAGTTTATCTCACATGTTGAATCATTCGGAATGTGTTGTTCTTGTTACAATAACATTAAAAATGAGTCATTATCACCAACATTTCCATAAAAAAAGCGTTTAAAGTTTATATTGCTAATTGGTGTATTTCTTATGTTCACTTTTAGGAACGGTAATATCACAGTTGAAAATGCATAACGTAAATGTGTATCTTTAATAATGTAATATAGCCCCATTTTACAGTGTTTATACAAAGTTGAGCTGTGTTTTGTTCACTTTATTGTAGTGAATGTCAGTACATTTGTTCTTATAAGCCAGCTGTCCTTTCAACTATGGAAAGTAGCTGTGTTTCACGATTGAAACTAAAGCCAAATAAAGGCAGAAATAACTGTGTGGGGTGATATGCTCATAAAGCATGAAACTGGTAGTACAAGGCAGCCAGGTGGGAGTACTGAAGTGTGCATGGGAACATTTAACAATGAGCATGCATGTTTAACGTTTTTGTCTGTCGGTTTATACAAATTTACAGAAAATAACATGAAATATTTAATGTACATTTTAAGTGAAAAAGGGAATGCTAGTGTTTTTTTCGTGGCAATAGTCAAAATCTTATACACTAACACTTTATTCTAGCGTCACATGAAATTCATAAGAAAACCAAAAGAACCAAGAGGCAGCTGAACAGTCACCTTCCAATGAAAAAGGAATCAAAGAGAAATTGTTACAAATCTTTTATTAAGATATTCATTATTTTATCAATTTTGACATTTTTCTCTATGATTTGTATTTATTTATTTTACAGTTGTTAATGTGCAATTACCTTTGATAATGTTGGGTCACAGTTACAGGGCTTTCACAAAGTTATTGGCACTTGGAACACAGAAAGAAATAGGATGAGAAGTACAGGATGTACACTGGCACTACAGGGTTACACAGGGAGAGGAGCAGGGGCAAAGACATGGACAGACCAATTACTGCACAGGTTGTGAAGAAGCGCCGTTTCTGGGTAAATATATACCTCATGCTGCGAGTGCACAACAAACAATCTGACCTCTATGTGTGCGTCTATATATAATATACAGTATTCATCTATACATGTGTATAATCATATTTATATATGTACTGTTTAGAGACAAAAGGTTCCCCGTGCCGTGCCACACCTTATCCATTCAAGTGTGTAGGTCTACATGTTTTGTGAAGTGTAAACACATACTTTGAAATTACGATCTGCTTAGAACATACAGAAAAAAAGGAAGCATGAAATCTTTCAATTCTCTAATGCACAGAAAGTGAAACACAAGCACACCTCTTGCAGATGAAGCAAGTAGGTTGTGGGTGAGGGACTTTTTGGACATCAGAGAACGATCACTATAGGTAAAAACCCCTGACAAGTCCCGTAACTAAAGTGAATTCTACTCTAGGCTCATGAGGCGCAATAGCAGGATAGTCTCAGTGGGTGTGGACATTTCTGCATGTGCACTGGGTTGCTATGCGTAAGCAAAGCTTCCTAAGAGTCAATACTGATTCACTTGTGATATTTTAACTGTAGTTAGTGACTCAAAATGGAGTACGAGTCATTCAGTAGGTCACCGTGTAAAAGGGTTATTGAAAGAAACTTATCCAAGTTGTCTGTCTTTGAAAGTTACTTTTATTTAGACATTTTCCTCATTAAGTCTTTGTTATCTCGGTTTAATATTTCAAAGAATGTCAATGGCAATCACCTTTTACCAATGCCTCTAATAATGGAACCAAATGTAGACATTTTAACAGTGCAAATTAATCGCCATACCTATATCTCTAGGCAGGAATATTGACAGATTTGGTACCAAAAAGCTATTATTTAACAACGTTTGTTGTTAAATAGGAAATTAACTTCAAAGGGTTAAATTCATGTCTTAGTGATTGGCATGTCTCTTGGTTCTTTTAACTTTTTACACCAAGCATGTATCCGGAAAGCTGGTACTTTAGTGAGTTTCTTTTGAAAAGTTTGATATTTTTATCAGATTATCAGTAACACATCATGTAATAGTCCATCAAACTATTGTTTGGTTATGGCGAGTTAATCACACTGATTTAGGTGGTGTCATAATATTTATAAAAAGAGGGAAAGACATCGAGATGTAATTTGAGGTGAACTGTAAACGTTGCAGTTAAAAGCCACTAAGCAAATTAAACAAACATTTGAAAATGTGGATTCAACCACCTGAAACCACTGCTTTGCCTCTCTCTCCGAAACAGATGAATAAACTTGTGGAAGTGAAACTCGACACCAGCTGCATGAAGGACAGGAAGCACGACAGTCTTTGAGTATACTGTAGAGGTACGTGGGGGAGGGGGGGGGCATCTACAGTCAGATGTAGAGCTTACTGAGGTTTTGTTGTCATTACCCTTAATTACAGAATACGAGGTACTGCATTTTTGTTCTTTCCATAAACCATCAGGTCAAACTATTTCAATAAACTCATCCTTATCATTTAATCAAAAATGAAAATACGCTAAGCTTGCTTCTTGTTCTTTTCCCCCCATAAGATTGCATCAACTGCTTTCATTAAAAATAATAAATTCCTTCCTGTTTTTTTTACCCTGTACCTGTCTTCAGAAAAATAAAAACCTTTTTAGAAATGCCCCTCCAGAAGGAGAAAGTAATCATCTGTAGGAGCATTTCAAGTTAACAACACATTCCCAAGTCATACCCATAACGTTTTCTCTTATAACCAACTGCAACAGGAATACTGAACCCCCTGTGTTGACCAATAACAGGCCATTCAAAAAAAGCAAATACAAACTTTCACGTACAAAAAAAGGTCAGTTTTGAACATTTCACAATCAGATGCATCCAGCAACAGAAAGGAAGAACACTTGGGGTTTAACTCAACAGTCGTTTTGATTATTTACAGTAGGAATTTGTGCCAATTTCTAAACAAGAAACGCAGGCAGACATGGAAAACAAAAAGACAAATTCCACCAAAAGGGGTTCAGTTGCTACACAACATTTCTCAAAAAGGTGCATGAACCGCTGGTTCTTCTTATTAAGGTGCAAAATCATTTCAAACTCTAAAACAAAACTGTCAGCCATTTTCGAATTTCCATCGTAAAGATTAGATACATGAATAAACGACATACTGAAAAGACACAGCCGTGCAATACAGGCTCTCCTTCTTACTCAAATAACTGTTTTGCACACGTGGATCGTACCAAACAACCATTTGCTTCAAGCATCATTGCCTCCTCATGACATCACTGTACCCACCAAGCTTCTGCTTACTGATTTAAATTAAAAAGGCACGTTCCTATTTTATGTAATTATTCCCTGTGACTTTTGCATTTGTCAGCAGTTCTTTTTTCTTTTTAAAAAACATGAATACTGCCCGAGCTGTCAGATCAATATAACCTTATATTACAAGTAATCTTCATAATTGTGGACTAAAGTTTTATCGAAAGGAGGCAAATTATTCAGGTTCACCACCTAACAAGAAATAGATCTCATAGACAACAGTCAAGCCAACTGTATCAGTCTTATTATTCCTTTAAGCTAGCGAAAAGAAGATGAAATGCTTCATATTTAGCAGTTCAACTGCTCATTCCATCTCTCTGCACTGTCAAATAAAGATACAAATAAATGACTGTCTTGTGATAAGACTCCTTTTTTATGCAAAAATAGCACTTTCCTTATTTGACAAGACCTCTTTCAATTAAACATGAAGATCGAGATTTTAAAACAATCCCTCTCACTCTCTTCGGCTCACGCCGTTCTAGGCATGAGCACTTGTATAAATATAGTTTGTCTTCTAAAAATATGACCATATTTTATAACCCGTTGCCCTTTAAATTCTCTTTACAATCATCTCAGTAAAAAGCGTTCCCCTTCTCTCTTTATCACGTATTCAGTTCATAGACAGAGAAACATGCTACAATTTGAGGAAACAGAAGAAGAGGAAGATGACAGTTCTATAAGACACTGCACAGTGAAACACTCAGGAGAGATTCTCTAGGTCTGGAGAAAAGGTGATGTGGCGAAAACAGTTGCAGCGCGAGGATGGGAAGGTGCAGGGGAGGAAAAACAGGTAGTGTTAAATTATATTATTGGTTCTATTTTATTGTTTTAGTTCCTTCTCCTAGGCTGGAAGTGGTTTACTCCTAACCCTTTCCTTACAGCCATCCTTCCACTTCTGCAATGGTAACCCACCAATCACCTTCATATCAAGGAATGTATTTAATATTAAACAGTGGATGCGTTTACACACCTTAAAAAGACAAGGGGACAGTTTGGAGAAAACCTTCTCACTCTCTCCCTTTCCTCAACTACCTTCATTGTACAGTCATAAAGCAAATAAGTGTTCATGTCCTGGTTACATCAGGGTAACAGCTGTCGACCCCAGCAGTGTAGTATAGACAGTCACATGTGAGAGATCAGCGTGGGCCAAAGAGTGAGGAGGCAAGCAAAACTGGGGAATACTGGTACGTGTGTCACCAAATCTCAACCTTCCCCGGACACAAAGTTCAAAATAAGGCTCCTCCTTCCCCGCCTACACCTGGTAGCGATTCACCTGAAGAGCCACCTGACTCCATGCCGGCCCCGCCGGCAGCCTCCAGGGAGGTTGGGTCGAAGGCTGGGTCCGCCCCCAAGGTGTCCTCCATCTTGACTCCGTCGGGAAGGAAGGCGGTGTAGGCGTCGCTCTCGGCCATCAGTAGTTTCAGCTTGGGGATCCAGCTCTTACGGACCACGCGGCGGGCGTTGGTGCACATGTCCGCTGCGATGGCATTCATCTCGCTCTCTTTGAAGCTCGTGGCAAAGTTCTGGCAATAAACTGACATGGAAAAAGTGAAAAAAAAAAACACAGTTAGGCTGATTGCACATTATGCTGTTAGCTATCAGAAGTGGTGTCGTGAAGCAGACGGAAATTAACAGCGGAAGTCAAGGGAAATGTTGAGTAAGTGAAAAACACTTCACTAAATGAGTAATGTGTGCTATCGTGCCTTTGCCACGGGGCTTCTGGCACAACTCGCAATGTGCAAGGAGCATTGAAGCATCCTGAAGTATCAGAGATCCTCCGCCTCACACTGCAACACTTGCAGTATTGAAGCGACATCTGGTACATTTTGGATTACATCCCAACATTTTACTGCATATGTAAAAACTTTAAAAAATATCCTACATTCAGACACATTTCAGTTGATGTTGGCTTTTACTGTAACCCGTGTCCCAGAGTTAGGACATTTAAAGAGAGGTAATAACTCCAGGTATGTTGCTGATCACACAGGCTTTGATTTGTAATTTAAGTTGTAAATGGAGTCACATTTGACTGACGAGAAACAAATCCAACTCAAACATATAAGGAGCTACACAAGTGAGCCTTTTTCATTTACGTAACATCATATTCAGTATGTAAACATAGGTGATGTTGCCATCTAGTGGTCAAAGTGGGTTATTACCTAATGCTGATCATATGGGTGCAGCAAGATTCAGAAATCTCCCCTTTGCACTTTCAACCAAAAGTCACTTAAAGTAGGCCATAAATCTAATTCTGCACCAGCTTTAAGATATGCAAATATATGTTAAATATATGGTAAATTCCCCTCTGTCTGTATCCAACATCACACACAAAAGTGCAAATAGTTTCAATGCTTTAAAGGCAATCACCCTCGGACAGAAACACTCACATTTGACCGCGTGCAGAACTCTGTTGTCCAGCGGCTTGCGGCTCGGGTCGTTGGTGGACGAGCGGATGCCTGTTCCACAGCTGTTAGCCAGAGTGTTCCTGATACATCAAAGATAAGAACACACAACAGAGGAAAACAAAAATAGTTGTTACATCCCTCTTATGCCTGCAGATAGAGAAATCCAATAATCTCTATACGGAAATGTAGCTTTTGCTAACTTTACATGAAGCACTGGCAGAAATAGACCCAGACAGATGAAACAAACCTGTCAAAGAAGGCGGCCAGCAGCCTCCTCAGCAGCACCTTGTGTCTGGTCCCTGCGCTCACGTGACAGTTCATTAGCTGGGCTCGCGATATATACACAGAAGTACCTGCAAAGAATGCACAAGCAATGATTACCAAGAATCAAATAAACCACCAGCACTTATCCCCGTTTACGAACCACTTATTGTCTCCCATCAGGCCACGGTTGATCTCTTTGAGTTTAGATGTTGTGGTTCATACACAGTAATATGATAAAGATCTTCGCTTTGATTTACTGGAATGGAGTATTTGTTTGTCTGGTCTGATTCATATCAAACATTGCAGCTGTAGGCGGAGAGTGAGGAGGATGTGCTTCGGTTACATATCATAGTTTAGAGTCTTGCTTTTTTACCATTTTAACTAAACTAAAGTGTATTCCTTTTAATAGTGTAATGGTATGCTACATTCGTGCATTTCACTTTATTAAACAACCTTTGTAACCTGGCGTATGTTAACACCACCTTTCTTTATCTTTGTATGTTGCACTCAGTCTCTCAATCAAACGTACAGTATGTAACACACACATTGCCACAGGATGTCCTTGACATAAACACACAGAATCAAATGTTCAGTACTGGCACATAACCTGCATGTCAATGTCAAGCCGAGTCATCTGAGGACAGCCTTCTCTCAATATGTGTATACATATCATTGCCAGTGGCCTGTTTAAAGTGTCCTTTGAATGATCTAACATAAGTATATTCATTCTAGGTATATTATAGCTTGTGTGTTTCTTTAATATACCTTTCAAATGTTTAAAAGCCTTAGACAAACACATAGAAAAAGACATTTACCAGCTGCTCTAAACCCCTATTCTCTAAAAGCATTTACCTTTGGTTTTCTTTGAGAACACCCAATCCATACCTGAGACTAACTCCAGTTTCTCAGCGGGGTCTCCTTCCTCGTACAGTTTGGGATGACAGCGGTTGCCTATCTGAGCGACGAGTTCTGCAGGCAGACATGTGAGGTCTCTGCCTCGCATTCGACCCCGAGTCTCTGTGTGGTCTGGTAGAGCCTCAACACGCTCACCAGCTGCTGGAGAGAAACAGGTTTGCAGAATTACAATAAAACCACATCATTTTAACACACGGGAAAAGAAAATACGGTGCACAGTTAAGCGTCTGAACACCAGATATTGATTCATTCAATTTCACTGACATTAGTTATGTGATATTAGAGCTTTATACAACACATTTAAGTCACATTCACACATGCTGGTCTGACTCGTGTCCTTTACCTGCGGCGCCCATGTTGAGCATGCTGTACATGGTATACATGTTGCAGATTTGCCTGTACTGCTCTTCAGCACATTCGTCTGTCGCCTCTTCCTCTTCTTCATCATCGTGATAGCTGATGGGTGAGTCGCTGGCGTAGGTGCTGAGGGTGCCGGGACTGGCCCCCTCTGACACGCCGAGGCCCGCTGCGTAGCTCCCATTGGTCCCAGTGTTGCCACTGAGCCCGCCCCCGGCAACCATGCCGGCCAGGCTGGTTACGTTGGCCCCCATACCCATGGCCAGTCCCAGGGCTCCGGGGCTCTGAATGGCACTACCCCGCACTGCCTCCTGGGAATAACGGGCTGCTTTCCTAGCCCCGCCTCCTCCCCCTGAGCCGACCCCGCTGCTGCCCCCCTCCCACAGCCGCTTGGCCACAGGGGTGCAGACCACAGAGTAGGGGGCGGCTGCTTCCGGCTGGCTCGCTGGCTGCTCCGTCTTCACCCGGGACACCAGAGGCAGCGGCGTCAGGCAGGAGGCAGGCCGGCCTGCACTGTTACTGGTCTGAGTCACAGGGCTCTGGGGCTCAGAGGGGGGGGCCTCCTCAGCGTGAAGGCCCTGGGAGTCGCAGCTTGGAGAGGAGACCTAGAATGAAGACATACATCAAGGGTCAGCGTAACTCATTGATTTCAAGCATATATATGTGCTTGTGTTGGGAAGATACTGAATGTACTCATCCAATATCAGAGTAGCACATGATAACTACGTAGCTGTGTACGTAACAGGATGTATGATTACATAGAAGAAGCTCATGAGACACTGTGTTGAACATACGATAGCTATGTTCAATGATTAACATGATGATTCAGCCTCTATGGAGATAGGCATATGACTGTCATGTTTATTGCTTACGTGGGCCTTAGCTAATCTGAACTAAGCATAGTATATGGCTTTGAACCGTATACATGTATCTTGTGACTGAATAACACCCTCTCTTGTATTTAAGCATCTGAAGGACACTGTTTGGGGAAATATTTGTCCCATGTGCTCAGTATGTGATGACTACTTCCATTCTTGCAAAGATAATAAATACATGTATCCTGATTATTGAAGCAAAGCAAAGTAATCAGTAAAGTAACTGAGTTACTTTTGAAATGAAGTAACTAGTAATGTAACTAGTTACTGGTTTTCAGTAACTAGCACAACACTGGTGACGAGTAGGGTTGGGAACCGAAACCCGGTTCCAGATGAGAACCGATAAGAAAATGCCGGGTACCGGGTACCCATACAAAATACACAATTTATTATGTTCTGCTTAACGGTTCCTAAACGCGGTAGACCCTGTATTCCACCGGGTCCGTCTGCTCTGCAGCGACCCGGTGGAATTCAGCGGCGGACTGGCCATCCGTGTGTTCTGGAGAATCACAGAACGGCCGGTCGTCAGCGGGCCGTTGACGGCCCTTCATTTTTTTAAACGGCATCATGTATGTTGCGCTGACAGGCGACAGAGGTCCACAGTTGCCCCGCCCTCCCGTAGACAGTTCACGAGCTCAGTCACTTCATAACACCAAAGATGGGACGCGGTAAACGCTCTAAAGTGAGGCTCCACTACACTAAAAAAGAAAAAGACAAGGCACAGTGTAATGCCTGTTAATAGCTTGCCACAGGCATAGCTCAGTTCAAATAAAGCACAGNGAGTTTGACACCCCTGCTCTAAAGTGAAGCTCCACTACACTAAAAAAGAAAAAGACAAGGCACAGTGTAATGCCTGTTAATAGCTTGCCACAGGCATAGCTCAGTTCAAATAAAGCACAGCTATTGTCTATGTACTGTATATTTTTTATTTGTAAAAATGTCAGTTCAAGCTTAAAAGAATAAAGATATTTTTGTTATCTAAATGTTTGACCTCTTTCTTTTACAATTTTGGAATGGAAACGGGGAATCGATAAGAACTGGAATCGATAAGCAGAACCGGAATCGAAAG